CCTCATCTCTGCATCGGCTTTAAACTGCAAGTTCATTGCACAACTAGAGAGAAACATTGCAAACACATCTGTGGATGCTGCTGACAGATCCACCACCCTGGAGTCTCCACAACACGCACAAGCAGCACTTATCTTGCTCTGCCACATGTTCTCAATAACTGTTTCCTTAACATTTCTTGTACGCAACTCCACTAACCAGTCAGCCATCAGAGACCTGTTTTCTCATTAACACCATTCTGACAAGAGAGCTCATTGATAGACATTTTTCTTTTCCTATGTAATAAGGCATTTTTTGCCGTTTCCTGTGCTAGGCCTTCACTACATTCTTGTCAGATGTTTTTATTTTGATTGGCCATAATTACCGTGCCATCTAACATTCCCAGTTCCTTCACATATTAATTTTTTTTAAAGCTCTTTGTTTTAAGTCCCCAAAATTAGATGATCTCTTATAAATCCTTCTCTGATGATAATCATAAAGTTCTACTTATATTAAATAATGTCCTTACAAAAACTTCCATGCTTTCTTGTCTCCCCTTAACTCCTATACAATCAACAGCCTTTGGTGTACAAGATTCATTTAGAGAAAGAAGTACTTGTGAAGCCTTTTTAAATGGATGTGAGTTATTTTGGTGCCTTCTTTAGTGCAGGTGAATGATTTATGAACCCCTCAGTCTCTGTGCAGTCCGTTCTTTAGCCAGCCAAGCACTACTTCATGTAAGCTTCGCTGTCCAGACCTTGCAGCACAGAAACGGGCAGACTGCCCCCAGCATTGAGACCAGATGGAGATCAAATTAACCCCTGATCCGTGGTCTCTTCGAGGCCCATAGACTATTTCTAAGGAGTCCACTAAAGATTAATAAATGCATGCCTATTATCAGCAATGTTCAATATCTGCTAAAATCGTCAGCACCATCACAGGAGAATTTGGAGGGATCCACAACTAAGCCTGAAAATCACTCAGATTAAACTGAAAAACTTCAAGTGCTATCTGTAGGATTTCTTGTTGTTATTATTTATGCTTATTCCACAGTTAGCAAATCATACTAACAGGACCAAAAAAAAAAAATAATCACAGAGCAAGCCATGCTTAAGATCAGACAAAGACAGGCACCAGGAACCTGAGCACAGCTATGGACACAGCTTCATTATTCAAGGTCCCCACTCAAAAATCAGCCAGAGTTGAAGCAGTTTCTCTTTCCACTCTCCATCCTTTGCCCCCATTCTTCACCCCTAAACCTCCAGATGAGAGCTGCTTAAGTCAACACTGGCAACATTACCACTGAATCTGTATCTGTGGCCTCTTCTCAAGTCCGAACAAAGCATCCAAAACCATCTCCTAACAATTCAGCCACCTTAGAGACAGGAGGTGCCTGTGGTTTTGCTGGAAAACTTAGTTGGGTGCCTAAGCTTTTCTTACTGCACAGACCAGAGATGGCCAACATCTTGCCTGAAGAGAGTAACAAGACACAGTTCTCCCACCTAGTCCATTTATGCCCATCAAGGAAATGCATCCAAACTCCTTCAGTCTCCTCTAAGCACACTGTAAGCAGGAAGGTTAATAGAAAACACTGCCATTCCCTTCCAAATCATGGTGGGGAGACGCTTCTTTCTTGCAGACTAGCTTCTTATGGGACTGCTCATGCCAAAGGAATAGACTTCCCTGGACTGTTTAGCTTTCTCTTTTTTCTTTTCCAAAATCAAAGCAGTATCAACATCAGGAACTGTCTTGGGAGCTGTGAACACAATCTTGGATGTTCAGTGGTCCCACTTCCAAACGATTGTGTCAGTTCATGACAAGGGCACCTTTCCAGCAGATGGGAGGTGGGGGTTTGAAGCAGTGCAATGAGCTGCATGCAGGTCTCCTGCTTCCCAGGTAAGTGCTCCCGGCCAGTAGATTGTTACATGACAGCTGGGTAGCAGCAATCCATTTTTCAAAGAAAACTGTAAACGGTTTTTTCAGACCCAGTTTTCAAAGTCTCCATGCCAGAAGGACAACTGGGCACACACATTCAAAGTGAGGTTCCAGCTTCTGAAACTCAAGTTCTTGCCGGCACTTGGCACTAAAGGTGGTGAATTTATCTGCTCCCACATCCAGCGGAGGGAATCCCAGAGCATCTCCCTCACAAGCATTTTCCAGACGGCTGCTGTGGCCATCACACACTTTGCTGGCTGTGGTGAGTCACTTTCTTCAGCACTTAGCTCTCCTCCATTCGTTCCATATAGCACGTAAACATTGCGGATTCTTGGTCTGAAGCCAGGTATTTAACCTGCAGCACCGTGAAACTGTTTAGTCATATCCATGTTTCACTCACATGCTTTATTGTCGGACTAGATCATCTTTAGAAGTCCCTTCCAACCCAAACCATTCTATGATTCAGTGTAGAAGGAAACCAATGTAAACCCTAAAACTCCTCACCATCTGTCTTAATGCTCTGTTCTGGCCTCCAGGACACCCTATGGACTTCCTAACCAATCTTCTGATACAGTTTTGAGGAAGCAGCATCCAGTCACAGCAGCTAAGGATCCTTGGATCCTAATAAACAAGTAAGAGACTGGTCCAGTGATAAAGAACTCGAGCAGACCAACTTCCATTCTCTTCTTGCCTACAGACATCTTATACAACTATAGGCAAATCACGCAGGACTAGATTTTTCTGAAGAGGCACTTACATGGATGAGATGAGACCTTGTTGGATTTTCAAAACCACCTCTCTCTAAAGCTTCAGGCTCCTAGTAGGTTGTTTTCCTCTTAAGAGTTTACCTAGCTCTTAAAATCCAGCCATACTCCCTTGCAGTTTTCAGTTCCAAATATACAAAATGGAGCACTTTCAGCACAGAAGTTGGCAGAAGCACTAACAAAGCCTTAGAAACATTTTTAAATGTTCTCTCCCTTGTACAGATGTTTGCATGGCTAAAAACATCAAAAGGCTTTAAGCCTTCTACTGACATATCAAACCCTCTTGAAGGGTCCTACTCCCACGGCCCACAAGCAGGATGGTTTGTGGTTCATGTGCAAACCAGAAGAAAGCATTTGAATTTTAAGAAGCTGCCAGCTAGTTATCGACCAGTAATCCAAAGGGCTTTGCCTACAGATGATGCCTTACGAGCCCAGTCTGTGCCTCTTTCAGTAGACTACCTTTCCCAAAATACATCCTAATGCTCATCTCATCAAGGGAAATGAAAATAGTGAGACCCTGACCACACAGCCTTACGGGAAATGTGGTTCAGCTGTGAAGTCCAGCCAGCAGTGAAATGCAATGCAAAGCACAAACTACACTCCCCAGGAGACACCATGAGAATATTTTTGGCTAAAATCTTCTGGTTTTCAGCCAAAATATTTTGACAAAAGAACTAAACTACCCTAGAAAACTGACACTTTTCTTGAAAAAGCTACTTTGCCAAAAGCCTTCTTACTTCAAAAGGATTCTGGCTCAAGAGTTTTTGGACAGCCAAAAAGATGACTAAATAACAGCTTTAGAAACAGTGTAAAATCACTCAAAAATAATCAGAAAAAATAGCCTTCGACATAAGGTACAATTTATAAATTACACAGTAGATTGCTGCTGCTTCCACAGTACAATTCTCTGCTGACTCTAGGACTATGCCACGTTTAAAATGCAATTTTGACTACGAATTAAAGTTACATATTCTCTTTCATGTATTAATTTAAACAGTAATTTCATTTTAACAGATACATCTAAGAATTTTCTGAAAGACAGTCCAAATATTTTTAAAAGGAATACTCAACTTGAAGTCTTATTTCTTGTCGACAACATCTGCATACCTTATTTATGCTGCATCAGTAACATAATAAAATTTTAGGGATATGTCTAATGAGTTGTCACAGAGTAAAAGATCCTAATATCATTGTTATAAGAGACCTTTAATTCAGTGTTTGTTTTATTTACTCTGATCACTATAATGCCTTAAACATTCATGATCATGTAAACGGTCATATAGCTATGAAATACAAGAGATCTCAGCTACAGAGAGGGAAATGTAGGACAATAGTTTTTACATTTGTTACATTTTTAAAATCTTTCAATACCCAAGGATCAAAGTTGTTGTATTTCCAGTCCAGAGGCTCTTTCCATTTCACTGTATGGCAAGTGAAGTTGGATATTTCAGTTCCCCACAGTGATTTGATTTTGCTAGAAAAGAATCCCCCTCCTAAATTTCACTGCCTATATTGAGCACACATGTATGTATCCACAGAGGTCAGAATGGAAAGCTGCAAGTCCCTTTATGAATCCTATTTTTCATACCTCATGACTAAAAAGCAGGCATGTGGCCTTCTGGTTACTGAAGTGCAGCTTACTTTCATATTCCAGCTCATTTAGACCAAGATTTTATAACTTTACACATCCTTAAATTTCATTAAGGATTCCTGTGTACTACTACTTCCAACTTGCTTTGGTTTTCACTGAGTTTGCTCTTAATTATCCAGTGGTGTAATTCCAGCGCTTACTGGATCTTCTGTCATCTGCTTCACTTCTGCAATGTCAAGTCTTCATTCCCTGCTTTGCAGCTATATTAAAAGCTCACTTTTTGAAGTGGAAAACAGCCAGCCGCTTAGGAATAAAAGTAGAAGGGATGGAGAAAAGCACTTATCGGTTCAATTTTGGAAATGCTATTACAATGGGAATTACAACCCATTAATGAACTGCAATAAGTTTCCACTTTAGGAAAAGTTAAAATTCATATACTGTTTTGTCCTTCCCTGCTCAAAGGAAGGCGAGCTCTTCCAATGGCATTTGTACATTTTAAACACAACCCCCCCCCACTAAACAGGAATTCAGTGATCTAACCCACATGGGTGCTTCTCAACAGAAAGACCCAACGTTATCTGATAGAATCGAGCAAGCTCTTATTTCCCTTACCTTCCCCTCCTATGTGGGGATTGTCAATCATATTCTGCCACTTACAAGGCAGCCCCCTAACAAACACCCAGGCGTTTTCCTCTATGTGCTTCTAAAGAGTGAAAGTTTAAAAGTCTCTTACCTTACGGTTGCTGAGAAAATGGAAACTGCTTAACGCTCTGTGCCTGCAGGGACACTGCACAGATGAACCTCATTGCTGCTGTTTACAGAAGTCTGACAGTTTTTAATTTGAAAAGAGGTTGTCTTTTGCTTTTCGACAGTTCAACAAATCAGACAAAACAGTTGCAAGTGTTATCTGTAAACAGCTTCCTGTTTGAAATAGATCAGCTGTCCTGCAGGACAATAATTAGGAAAGAAGTGTGGGAAAGCTGAAGAGGTCCATGATGTAAGCTTTTTATTTTGGGAATGTACTTTTTTGGGAATGCACTCTTACTCTCCCCTCCTCCTCTCTAGCAGAGAACCCCTTTTTAACCATTTACATCTATTCAGCTCTAAGCCATGCATGCACAGTGCCTCAGCACACCACTTTTCTTGCTTTCCTTCAGCGGATATAAAAATACATGAAATGCAGCACCGAATGTGAGCATCTTATGTGGATCATTAACACACTCTCCCCTTACAGAAATTCTCTCCATTCTTGCAATTGGCTACAGCATTCTTGACTTGTTGAGTAAAACATACAACTATTTCGGAGCTGAGTCTCAACGCTCCACAATAATGTAAATGCTAAATTATCCACATGGCAGGCTTCTTCACGAAATTTTGGGGTTTGTTTTTTTGATTTTTGGTTTGGTTTTTTTAACACCTTTTGATACTGTCTGTGTCAATGGGAAGGAAAAAAAAGGAGAGAGAAATCCTTCACTATAGCTTCCAAAAAGTTGTACAATTCTGGTTTTCATCTTAAACAGCTAGACTAGTTTGAGCCCTGGGTAAACCGCAGTACTCCACATACATTTGGGCAGGAAAAAAAATGGGGCCAGCTGATTGTGGGAAGTGGGATTTTGAGAACACCTCCCTCTCTTTGTTACAGCAGTTTATACTTCAACGGGTATTACTGGCTTCACTCTCAACTTCCAGGGCAAATAGAGTACCGCTTATGACTATACCAATCAATACCTTCTAATGAATAGCTGGTGTATTTGTAAGGCTGTAGCTCTGATAAGCTTCTTCAACAAAAAAGGCTCACAAACCATCTGCCCCCTCCCTGTGCTCATGCCACTGTTCCCCCCTCCCAGTTTCTCCAGGTGGGATTTGAAGGGTTATGCTGTAAGCGAACACCCTGCAGGACAGGAGCCTGGGTAATTCCCAGTATGTGACCTCTTACAGGCGATAGCTAGGGCAGTAGCAGGAGGTTCACTTTCCATCTTCCACAGTCCCAAGACCAGAAAAGTATCAGAACACCAAAAAGGTTTTAGACTGAGGGACTAGAAAAAGATGCAATAGGATCACGTGTGTCTGTGTTTACTTCTCTACCAACCTTCTGATCCGCTCTCGTGGGAGGTGGAGGTCCATTCCATCGAGGATTTCATGCTGCGGTGGGGGGTGCAATACAAACTGATGACACACGGTACTGATGCACTCTTTTCCTGCTCTGTTCACATGTTGTATCCTCTCTCCCAGCAAACCTCTCCCCTGCCCTGGGGTGTGCAACCTCCTTCCCCACCACAGCTCCTGCTTCGCCAGCCCACAGCACCGCACTCACTGAGCAGCTTTGCTGGAGAAGATGACAAAAACAGGTACTGCAGATACCACAGCACTGCAGAAGTAGTGGTGCCTCATACTCAGCACTCACTGCAGGCTACCTTTGTAAAGGCAGACCTCTCCTAAACCACCTTGTTTCCATGTTGGGCTGAAACCTAGCTACCTAGGAAATGGCCTCAAGTTGCGCCAGGAGAGGTTTAGATTGGACGTGAGGAAAAATGTCTTTACTGAAAGAGTGGTTAAACATTGGAAGAGGCTGCCCAGGGAAGTGGTTGAGTCACCACCCCTGGAGGTATTTAAAAGACGTGTAGATGAGGCGCTTAGGGACATGGTTTAGTGGGCATGGTGGTGTGGGGTTGACGGTTGGACTTGATGATCTTAGAGGTCTTTTCCAACCTTAATGATTCTATGATTCTATACCCTCCTCCACCGCTATTAACTTTGGTTTTTTAACACACACCAAATGGTTATGAAAAGAACTGATGATCACTTCCAGATTACATCAGTAAAGAAAGGACAAAATAGTAGAACATGGGCATAACTGTGTAAGGACCACACAAGTCTAATTTGAAAGTTGTTTTACGTGTACAAGCCCCGTTAGTTCAGCGGGAGCAGAAGGCAATTTGCAGGATTGGGCCCTTGCAGCACTCTGTTGGCAGCAACTTGCCAAGAGAAATGTTTGAAGTAAAGAATGCAGCAAAGTGACTGCAGTCCAAGCCTTTGAAGATCATATTACGATGGCAAAGGCAGCGTCCATTTACATACATATCTACTCTCCCTGTAAACACAGGCAAATAACTCTGAGGCCAGAAACAGAATTCAAGGGAGAAACAGAGCTATTTCAGGGAAAGTTAGTAGAAAAGGTAGGATTAAGTACTGGGGAAGCAGAAGTGAAAAATAAACATAAATGACCAGAGTTCAAAAGGAAAGGGCAATAAGTGTTTTCTCTAGGAAAGGGGAAAATAAGCAAGTACATGGTTCTCTTTCACCTGAGAGAAAAGGGCACAGTCCCCTTACAGAAAGACATCAGCATCCTTCGCCCACCCAGAAAGCCGACTGGAAGCTGTGTAGCCACATTGGTGCATCATTTAAACTGGGCTGCTATGGGCAAACCGGGGTACTGGATGCACAGACTACACTGGAGCAGCTCAAGCCACTACCAGGTCGCAATAGCTGTTGCCACTAAGTTCAGTTTTTCATTACGTTAATATGCCTGTCGAAAAACTGTAGCAGTTCAAGAGCTGATTCACAAGTTTTTTCAGCCACCCTTGCTGGATGGAGAGGGACAGCCTTCAGAGGCTAGGGTATACAGCAAGACACACCAGCTAGATCAGCTACCTCAGCCTGACGCACAACCCAACATCCACCCAGACTTTAAGTTCAGGTTAAACACCACGTTGACACAACTATAGGTAGAAGTAGTGGATTGAAACACAGTTCAAAAACCAACCAAAAGCATGTAGACAAAAGCAAATTGGTTGTAAAAAGACAAGAACAATATTTCTAACAGAAAACAGGAAAAATGTATTTACACATTTTAGGAGCCTTCAGGCAAATTCTTCTACTCTTTCCACAGTCAGTTGGCATTATCTCTGTGTCTGTAAGAGGATTAAACATAATACCTATTTAAAAACACAATGGCTATTTTAAAATGTTGTTGTTACGGAAAGATGACAAGGCCCTAATTCTCCCCTCTGTTTGGCAAAACATCCAATAGTATCAGCAACATTCCCGATCAGATTTTCCCAGGGGATGAAAAGTGCCAATACCCAAACTCCTTAATAAATCAGTATCTGAGCTCAATTGCTGGAGCTCAGCTTATCACAGGCTGTCACAAATGCTGTTCCGGTTCTTGAAAGTAAGGGCTGCCTCGCTAACCAGCCCTTAGTAATCCTCCCAAGGCAAACTCCCAAAAGAGGCAAGGAGATGCAACAGATCCACGACTCCTCCATGGTACAGATCTGCACACCGGCACACCATGTGCACCCCCTCCTCTGCTCCCAAGACAACGTAATGATGTGTCCGCTTCCTTTCAGCTTCACCTAACAGTAATTGCTTAGCCAAGAAAATAGGAAACAACTTTACTAAACATCAAGATACACCTGGGAAAAAACAGTCTGTATATCTGCCCCTGTGAAGATACCCATCTGAACCCCATTCCCTTAGCACAGCCCCAGAGGACAGAGAGCACCACTGTACCTCTACGGGCAGGGAGACACCAGAAGCTATCCTTACCATCTCTTCTGTGCAATACACAAGATGTATGGTGGGAAAGGTCAGTGCAGAAACAGCAACGCAGGTTTGTTTGCAGCTGTGTAAAATCCGGCCTTCAGCTTCATCGGTGGTGTTGCACTAACCTTTTTTGCCTAAAATTTCTGAGCAGCATTCACAGCAGCAGTAGCAAGGAAACCGCTTTTTCTGTTACTCCCCATCTCTAAAATTGGAATAGTCTCTTCAGTGCCTGGCTTTAATTCTATCTTTGCTGCTCCAGGGTCAGATCAAAACTGAGCCAGACATGTCAGCACAATATCCAATAATGAAAAACATTAGCTATTAATCATTTAGCAACACCTAGCAGCAACTGCTCGTTGCTACGCTTAAGAACGATTTTCCTGAAAAGAAGAAAGAGTAACAGTAACTGGAGGGTAGAGGAGGGGATACCTGAACTTGCAGACTGTAACAAATCCAACAAACTTTCTCCTCTTGATCACAAGACATAAATAAGATCCTTTACATGTAGCTCTCTGTAGGGAACAGAGCACTAGTACAAAGAGGTGCTCGTGTCACTTCCTTCTCTTGCTCTCAGCAGAACGCAGGTTTTTCACACGAGCACTCTTAAGGCAGGCAGTGAGGCACAGCAAAGCCACTTCGTTATGAAGGGGTCAACCGTTCACGCTGATCAATGCTGCCGTCAGGCCCATATGGAGAACAGGAAAATTCACGCTCCCCCAGCCTAACGACAAGACTTCTTTTATGAGACTTCACAACTTTCTGTAATCAATATCTTTCTTTCTGTCATTCTGATACACCTCTAGAGACCTAGAAAGCACATCCCACAGAGGAAAAGGTCTAGCTTTTTGGCATTGCTCTGGCTTTTAGATATGACAGAGAATCAAACTTGGGCCTCCCACTTCGAAAATTTAGGAAAAACAAAGGCATAGGAAATAGATTATTGCAGTCCACAATGCAGGAGTGATAGGATTTCCTTTTATCACTGCTTGGTGTGAGGATCACTACATTAAAGCTTGCCAGATGCTCCCACTTACACTCAAGAGGGGCTTATCAGATGAAGTTATCATGCATCAAATTATCATATTAATACAAGATAGGTCAAGCACTTACCACTCAAAACTTCAAGCAAGTTCTGCCACAGTAGAATTGTGACACATCTACACACCTTTTCAAAGGGAAATCAACAGGGAGCAGCCTTCCTCACAGACAAAAACATTTGACGACATTTGTGAAAGGATTCATAT